ATTTGTTATTTGACTCATAATTCTATTTAAACAAACAGGATGCAATGAGCCACTGACTAGTATTTTCTGTTCAACTTAATATTTTGTAATTAAAGGCCGTCAGTCTTCAGGGAGTTTTGTTTTTGTTCTTGATTTCATTTGTTTCTTCGTTGTTTTATCCTTGTTTATTCTGATTGATAATTTTAAGTGTGAAATAAAATTGGCATTTTCAGATAACACATTTTTCTTTTAATTTTTTTTGTTTGTTTACACAGACTAAAATTTCCTGGAAAGAAAAACCATACATGTGCATATGTAAGTGGAATATATATTTATTCTGACAACTGTTCATCCGGAGAAAGTTATATCTGTGAGCTTTGAATATCGCAGTATTTGTTTCCCTAGCGTATGTTCTTATTGACTCTAACTAATAAAATATTTACAAAATAATTGGTTTATTTGTTTCTTTTATAGAATTTTTATAAAATGTTGCTAAATAATTTTTACTGTACTACACTCAGAATATTTAGTTAAATTCTTGAGGCTTTTAGTTATTTGAGAATAAAGAAAAATTACTACACATAGATTTTGTAGAGGTACATCTCTTCCCTATCACAGCTCATATTAATATTAATTCATTAACAAAGTTAGTAAAAAGCTTTTATGTGTTAAGCACTTTGCAAAATCCTAGTGATAACAAATACAAAGAAGGTTTCTATATCAGTCAGAGTGTGGCATGAAACGTATACCATTTGAGATTGCTCAAGAGTTTTAATGAAGAGACTCTGCAGAGTAGAGCACAGGTTTCTGGAGCAGACTGGAGAGATTAAGAAACCCAGAGACTAGCACCAATACCATGCCATTACCGTCTTTACGCAGTGGTATACTGAAGCTTGATGGTACCATCTTTGGGGAATCAATTTTGCACATTTCCTCTCAATTCAGCATTTAGTGGCCTCATGTTGATAACTTGAAATGGGCCATGGTGGCCTAGGTGCTCTGTGGAAATCTGCAAATGCTCTGGCTCCTGCTTTCCAGTTTTTCTTTGCTGCCAAATTGTGAAACTCACTATGTAAGCCATAGAATCCAAACGAAACCCGTTGCCATTGAATCGATTCCAACTCATAGTGACCTTATGAGACACAGTAGAACTGCCCCAAAGTGTTTCCAAGGAACACCTGGTGGATTCGAACTGTGAACTTTTTGGTTAGCAGCCGAACTCTTAACTACCATGCCACCAGGGTTTCCGAAGTAACCTGGAGAGGGACCTTGAAGGGACCCTTAAAAATCAGAGGTGAAAAGAAGGAAGAATAGATTCTGGAGCAGTGTTAGAAATCAAGAATAACCAACTGGTTTCACTATTTTTGCCAGTTAGCATGCAGTTTTGCCCTTCATGTAGATAAAAATTACTTCTTCTCCAACATGGAGAAGGCACAAAAATCCTTCAGCCACCACAGGGTTCTGGGTATTGACAGTCCAACTCCTATATGCAAGTTATAATGTAATGCTGGAAGTTACCAGTACTCCTTTCACAGGTAGCAGATAAAGGCCTCTTTAACCAGTGATATGAGGCCGTATTTGATAATCGGAATTTCTTTCTTCACCACCTACTACATATTTCTTTTTCCTGTTCATCTTTCTTTAATTGGTGATATGACCCCAAATTGTATTCCCCTAGTATCCAAAACCCTATCTCCATAGTATTGGCAGAGTTACTCATTGACTTTGATTATTGAACAAGCCAGTAATAGAAAGCTCTGGAAAAATCATCTATGTTCCCGACAATTCTTTCTACTCCCATTTTACAACAGCTACCCAACATCCCCATGATAACTGGCATCAATAATTCTAGCCTGTATAGCAATTTTTGCTTTTATTTCTTGTTCAGCACCTGAAGAGTTCAGAAGGTTAGAAGATAGCCACAAGATGGCTGCTTGCCCACTTGTTTACTCAGAGTTTCTTCTGCAGTGATTGCATGCAGGTAGGCATTTGTGTGGGACACAAAGACTTTCATACTCGGCCTCTGGGGATGGGGCCAAAATGGCAGAGTAGTCAGATGCGTCCAGTGGACCCTCTTACAACAAAGACCCGAAAAAGCAAGTGAATTAATTACATATGACAATCTAGAGCCCTGAACATCTAAGGCAAAGCTGAGGAACCGGACTGAGTGGCAGGGGGGAGCAAGAGACAGTTTGGAAGCAGAAAGAGTTGCCAGACCTGACCAGGTGAGAGCCTGAGCCCTTCAGGCCTGATCAGCTCATGGGTGAGTGGTGAGGCAGGCAAGCAGCAGTGCTCAGGAGGCACGTTTTCTGCACCTGGAGAAACCCAGCGCCAGAGAGTCTACTCGGCCACCCAGAACCAGTGAGAAGCAGCCCTCAATCAGGGAAAGATAAGTACTTGCGTACGGCTTACTGCAAGGATCAAAAACACCCCGCTTAAGGAAAATCCTCTCTCCCATTTACCTCCCTGCTCCCCGCTCTGCACTGGGTCTCAGACCGGTTTCAGCAACTGCCGAGCCCCTGGGCAGGAAGTAGGACCCATCACTTGCCCTGAGCCATTCTCCTGGCCTTGGAGAATGAACAAATTAACAAACAGGGGAAAAAACTGCTGGCTCCCCTAAGCCCGGAACCCAGGGTAGGCACAGCTCCTTTGGCGAGGCACAGACATAAGGGATCCACGGACTTTGAGTGCCTTTCCCCCTGCAGAGACTTGTGTGGGCCCATTTCAACAGCGTAGGTCCTCATTACCGCAGTACAACAGGGTATATACCTGAAGTCTAACTGGAACTGGTTCAGTTGTGAAGTGGCAGGTTTGTGACATTTGACACTGCTCTGCCCATGAAGCAGGGTCTTCACCTACACACCTCAGGGGCCTGAGGACTGGTGGCTCCACCCATGCCACCTAGCCACCTGCGATAGTGGCCTAAGAATAAAAGGTGCCCCCCAGTCCTTACAGTCAACAGTCCTGCTGCAGAACCCACCCACCTATGCGCTCTAGGGAACAAGGAGAGGCCTTCCGCCTGGACACTCAAGGGTGGCCGTCAGACCCCTGCCTTGCTCTGAGTGTGTTCCCCTGCTGCAGCCAGATGCCTGTGCCTACACCAATCACTCATGCCTGTCTAAGAGTGTAAGTAAGAGCCTACACCACACACTTGGTGGCTATCTACCTGGGTACCTGAGCTGAATAGATACAGAAGGAATCACACGGGGAATGAAACAAATGAAGAGTTGTGAATCTTAGCACAGAAATAAAACTATGAGGTAAAAACAAACAGAAATTCTAGAACTTAAAACACTAAAACTGAAATGAAAATTTGAATGTATGGGCATAACAAGAAATTGAATATAATGGATTAATAATTAGTGAATATGACTATAGGTGGAATATATATTGTGCAATCTGAAGAACTGTGTAAAAATGTTATTATATTTAACAAAAGTTTGATATGTCTGATAACATCAAGCAGTCTAGCATATATGTAGCTGAAGTCTCAAAATAGATCATACACAATGACATAGAAAAATATTTACAGTAACATGGCTAAAATTTGTTTATAAAAAATAAACAGTTAAAAAAATCAAGATGCTCAGCCATCCCAAAGAAAGATCAGAAAATAGGAAGCTGTATCATGCTACCTCGTATTCAAACTACTGTGATTTAAAAAGGAAGAAAATATATTGAATTCAATCAGAGAAAAATGACATGTTATGTTCCATGGAATAATGATACAGATTATCACTGATTTTTCATCAGAAACAATACAAATGAAATGACAGTGAAACATTTTTAAAATTGTAAAAGAAAACTTGAAAAAGCCTATCAACTTCAATGAATAATCATTGTTATTCTTTGAAGCATAAAAAAAGTCTAGCATTTGTCTCTGAGTCTACACCAATGCTGTGGAACCATCTATAGGCAGCAGAACAGTGAAATTTCTAATGAATTTTGAAAAAAATATTGCATTAAATTTACTGGAAATAATGAGTAGATGAATTATAGATGATAAAGTTCTAAATAATCTCACATTTTTTTTTTGATTACTTTTTTTAAATTATACTTCAGGTGAAAGTTTACAGAACAAATAGTTTCTCATGAAACAGTAGCACACATACTGTTTTATGACATTGGTTAACAACCTCATGACATGTCAACCCTCTCCCTTCTCAACCATTTTTTTTTTTTGTGAAAATATACATCGCCAAAGATACTCCTTCCATTTCAAAAATTTCTACACGCACAGTTCAGTGACATCAATTACGTTCTTCCAGTTGTACTGCTATTCTCACCTTAGATGAAGGTTTACAGACCAAAATAGTTTCTCATTAAACAGTCAGCACACATGTTGCCCTATGACAATGGTTAACAACCCCACTACATGTCAACACTGTCCTTACTCAACCTTGGGTTCCCTATCACCAGCTTTCCTGTGTCCTTCTGCCTTCTAGTCCTTTCCCTGGACTGCTGTGCCTCATTAGTCCCGTTTTGTTATATGGGACTGCCCAATCCCCAGCTGAATGGCGAACCTTGGAAGTGACTTCACCACTTCACCACTGAGCTAGAAGAGGTCTGGGGGCCATACTCTAGGGGTTTCTCCAGTCTCTTTCAGGCCAGTAAATCTGGTCATGTTTTGTGTGTTAGAATTTTGTTCTACATCCTTCTTCAGTTCTGTCCAGAACCCTCTCTTGTGATTTTGGTCAGAGCAGTGAGTGGTGGTAGCCTGGCACCGTCTAGCTGTACTGGACTCGGTCTGGTGGAGGCCTTGGTAGCTGTGGTCCATTAGTCCTTTGGACTAATCTTTTCCTTGTATCTTGTTCTCTTCATTCTCCCTTGCTCCCGAAGGGGTGAGACCAGTGGAGTATCTTAGATGGCTGCTCACAGGCTTTTAAGACCCCAGACGCTACTCACCAAGGTAGAATGTAGAACATTGTCTTTATAAACTGTGTTATGCCAATTGAGCTAGATGTTCCCCAAGACCACAGTCTCCACAGCCTTCTGCCCAGCAGTTCAGTCCCTCAGGGAGTTTGGATGTGTCTATGGAGCTTCCATGACCTTTCCTTGTACAAGTTGTGCTTGTTTCCCCAGTATTGTGTACTGTCTCACCCTTCACCCAAGATACCACTTATCTATTGCCTCTTTAGTATTTTGGCCCCATCCCTCCCATCCCTTGTAACCAACAAAAATTGTTACTATTTGTGTGTAAACTTTTTCATGGGTTTTTTACAATAGAGGTCTCATACAATATTTGTCGTTTTGTGATTGACTTATTTCACTCAGCATAATGTCCTTCAGTTTCATCCATGTTATGAGATGCTTCACAGGTTCATCATTGTTCTTTCTCGTTGCATAGTACTCCACTGTGTGTATGTACCACAGTTTATCCATTCATCTGTTGATGGGCATCTAGGTTGCTTCCATCGTTTTGCTATTGTGAACAATGCTGCCATGAACATGGATGTGCATATGTCTATTTGCGTGATGGCTCTTATTTCCCTAGGATATACTCTTAGGGGTCAGATTGCTGTATTATAGGGTATTTCTATTTCTAGCTTTCTGAGGAAGCGCCATATCATTTTCCAAAATGGATGT